TGCCCTATACTTTCCTTCTCATCATTACCTGTTAGTTCTTGCTGATATTATCTTACATATACAGTCGCCGACCGATTTTCCGGACTCCAAAAATTCGGACTTGTTGGATATTCCGGACTTCATAAATGCACCGTCAGGGATTCCATAGAGCTAATGCATTGTTTCGACCGATTTTTCGGGCGAATTTGCCCCTGAAAGTTCGATTTTTCGGACTAAATCGCTCGTTTTGTGCCACGCTCCAAGCCATTGTGAACGCCGCCATGTTGGATTTTCTGTCGGCTTGGCTAAGCTTGGTCTTCAGATGCCTTTCCTGCCTCCGAGATTAGAATGCGCACGCCATGTTTTAAGTTTCGGAGGCCGTGTTTGCTTATTGAAAGACGCGGTGATGGACGCCGTTTTTTCGTCTTCGGTCAGCACTATCGTCATCACATCGCCCGGGGTGGAGGCGAAAGAAGGATTCTTTTATTGTCGTTGCAGCTTTTTTCAGTCGCCATTCTGCACGTGTTGTGTCGCGTAGCGTCGAGACGTTGTGTGCTTCGTAGCGGCTATCTGCGGCATCGAATTTTGTGTTCTCGGTGCCATGGCTCCGCTATCTGTGCCATCGCGGGAGCCAGGTGGTGTGAAGAAGCGTGGGAAGTATATGACCCTGACGATGGAGAAGAAAGCTGCCATAATCAAGCTAATAGAGAGTGGACGTTCGCAGCTAGATATCGCTGGATGACGGTCGACGCCGGATGGCGGTCGTCGTTGTCGTCGGATGACAACGACGACCGCCCGCAGCCGTCGATGATCGCCAACGCGGTGACAATTTTGTCGAGCGTTTACGGCGACGATGTCACCTTGGCGCAAATACGGGCAAACCAAATTGCCTCCAAGCGTAGTTTGAGGCAAGGCAGCATCAAGGACTTTTTTAAACCTGCCTTATGCAATAAACTTCAGATTTTTGGCGAAAACGAATTTTTCGGACTGTTCGATTTTTCGTACTTTTTTTCGGTCCCCGCCAGGTCCGAAAAATCGGTCGGCGACTGTAAAAACAAACTTTTCTTTCCATCCTCTATTCATAGCAAGGGTCTCGTTCTAGCAAAGTTGATGCCTTCAGGTAGCATGCAAGTGATCATTGCTCAGCTTCCAATAAGATCCCGTGCTACATGACATAAACAACCAAATAGGCATGTTCCACTCTGGCAACAGGCAGTGCTGACTGAAGTTCCTATGTTTAAATGTATACACATAGTGCCACACTCTTTCCTCCAGTTTTGTCCTTGCCCCAATGCACATGTAAGTGCTACCATGTGCAATTGTACGGACTGACTAAGAACCATTGAGATATTTGTATAACCCTTTTATGTGATTATGCGCACAACACAAATAATAATGATTCTTCTAGAACTTACGTGGCTGCTAGGAATAATGCTAGATTATTAAATGGCATTGAGATATTTGTATAACCCTTTTATGTGATTATGCGCACAACACAAATAACAATGATTCTTCTGGAACTTACGTGGCTGCTAGGAATAATGCTAGATTATTAAATGGCAAATGTAAACATACCGATGCACATCATCACTTGTCAGCTGTTGGACAGTCGACGCTCTGTTCACTGCGCCAGTGTATATCACTTTAGCCCGACCAAATGAAGAGTATCTTCTTTGATATGCCGACTGTAGTTTTCGTCGTAGTCACGACCATGTGAAACCTGGTGGAGCTGCCTCCTGGCCCGTATATCGAATGCTGCTATCCAGCCATGAAGAAAATATCAATGCAAGCCGCTGGCACTGGACGACTTGGACCTCTGTGTGTTGCACAGAGTCGTGCACAATTTATATTGAAGGAAAGAAATTTCAATGGTGCACAAGCTCACCACTAGCAGCGCTTGCCGCTTGCAGATGACAGGGCATGGGAGGATACATTTAGGTGCACTGTTGATTGGTCGAGAAAGACTGCAGCCTCCACAATGCTGCACGTAGCTCACACAACCAAGCACTTTAAGCCCTCACTTCTGCCCCGTCTATGATCTCTAGGTAGGAATCAGTTTTCTTGAGTTGATTTCTTGAACTAAAGTTTTCTTGCTACTATGGCGAAGCCTGAAAAGCAGCCTTGCCACAAGAAGGGATTGTGATGAAGTGAAGCATAATAAACATCTGAAGGGGCCACTTCTTTTCGGACTTGTCTTTGGGAAGTTCAAATAGTTCAAATAGCAAAGATTCCAGTGCGAATCGAATAGCAAACACCAAAATTCAAAAAATATATGCAATCTCGCATATTTTTTAGATACCTTTTAAATAAGAGATTTGCAATGATGATGCGCACAAAGAATACAAAAACATAGGCTTCGTGCACTCAGTTAGCAGTGCCACTGCTATACGAGTGCACAGCGCCAATGTTTGTTCTGCCCCCTTCATGGCGCGTCGCCTGAAGTTGTGTGCAGTGTGGGTTGGTGCATGACAATGGCAATGCATTACGAGGCCCGCCTGCTGTTTTGCGGCTACGGACAAATAGTGAGCATTCAGAAATACTTCACACAAAGTACAGAAAAATGTCACTATCTAATTGAAACACATTAAATTCAAACTGGTCCTGGCACAGCCCTCTGTATTTCTCTTCCAATAATTTGAATGCCTCAGTAACCACAATGGTCAATTGGGACTATGAGCACCAGGTTTTCCTCTCTCCTCGGCCAAGATTGATGACAACGTATTCCAAAACCAAACTACACCTGATTTACTTGAAATGCAAAACAACGAAACAGCAGCATTTCTCAGCCGATGAGACTCCAGGCGCTGCTTTAGAGCTCTTGGGCAAGCTGCGATGCTCATCCAAACTCCTGATTAAAATTTAAATTTTTACTGCCTCCACATTGCTTGAAAGTAGGCATGTTTTGAATCACAAAGGGAGTCGCACGTATTTCGACATCAAGGCTCACTTTTGACATGGCTACACGTTGCTGCTTGTTTCTAGTGTATCATTAAGTCGTCAAATAATTGTTTCCTCTTAGACCAGCAGGTCGGCGAATTCACGCATGAGTCGCTCAGACTCGGATTGAGCCGTCAGTTTGAGTGAGATCAGGTGAGTAATATTTTGGTGAGCCTTAGTCAGAGTGAGTCCTCAGTGCGAGATATATTTCAGAAGCGAGCCTTACTGAGCTCTGCTAATTTTGTTGGCTTTCGGTAGGAGCTCTATAACTTAACTCACATAACCAGTAGTCACCTGCCACGAACGTGCAGCAGCCCCCTGTTTGTTATCAAGTCCAGAGGTGACTTCTTTGCGTTTTGCACATGTAGTGTGTCGGAATCCTCACTAATTCAAATGATTTTAAAGCCCCTTTCAAGTTCGAATTAACGAGTATTACTGAAGTTTGTTTCATGGTGGGGACTCGTACGCCAGTAGTCACATTTCTGGTGTGAAACAACTCCACAGTGGAAAAAGTCCAACGAAAATCATTAGAAAATGCATAACGCACATGGAGAGCATGGTACGATGTGCGTTTGGGAGAGTAAAGATCCTTTTTCTTGGCAGATGATAAAGGTACCTTTATCAGCAGCCTGGCATATCGCTAGTTCTACCACTGGCCCGCATTAGCAGGAAACTGGAATAGTTGAGTAGACACATAAACAGCAATGAAAAGACAAAGATAAAGTGCTCGTCTCTTTGTTTTCTAGCGCTGTCGGCAGCTTAAACGAACATATTAACTAGTGCGCAGTGGTCGATTACATTTTATAAAACCCTCCTCAGATTTTTTTAATTAATTTTTTTCAACTGCGGAGATCAGGGCATGTGCACTTTATTAAGCTGGTCTCGTTTTATGGATTGTAGGAAAACATTTACTTCCATGCAGCCATTAACTGGCTGTATACTTTTGTTCTACAACGTAGTTATCAGCGCAGAAAAGAAAAATTGTACAAGCTCATTGCACCTCCAAGGCTGGCTCTTGCAAGCAAGATGCAGCACTAGGCTTGTATGACAGTAGCCCCCAACACATGTCACTGACCTGCCTTGTGCATAGCATAAGCCGGCGACCAGTGCTTGACACAAGAAGTTCGTCTCTGAACCTTTGTTTGCCTCTCGCGAAATCATATTTTTCAACATGTGACTGTGTTTTCCGTTTAAATTTTCCTATCATAAAGGCGATGCTGAGGCCCCTCAACTCAACAAAACGGCTGAGCCGACAAAGTGGGCACTGCAGATGACTGCTTTAGGTAACAGTGGTAGCCATCATTCCCCACTTAGGCTAACAGCAATAAAAGAAACAAGGGAACCAACCATTACCCATTAATATTACCTGGAGCAATATTTCTGGGCACATACCCAGGAATTCTTTTTCAGTGGGCGTTCAACTGAACTTTGTGCCTTTCCATCCATGCATTTGTATGTGCACGAGTATATACCCACATGAAGTTGGAGAGGGAAATGGGCTATGCCCTTCCGGCGACGCAAATGACATGAAGAGAACACGAAAGCAATTGTCTGAACACGGGTCACATTTGGTTTCGAACAACTGCGATCCAGCATTTTCATCGATTAGCCTCGCACGATTTCTAGATGATGATCACATTGCACCTTTGCCAGTTTCGCGGCCGTGGTTCTTGCAACTGTATGACGCCCGAATTCGCAACAGCTGATACAAGTTGACGTTTTTCACTGCGTCTACACGCTTCAACTGCTAGGGCCTTTTACCAACCTGCTGTAGTCAGGCACAGCTGTGCGAAAAGAACAGGGACATTATGCCAGCAGCCACCGCAGTGGCGCTGCATGTCTGATTTGAAGGAGCAGGGCACGAGACCTACAGTGGATGTTTCATTGATACAATCACCTCCCTTATTCTTGTGTTGCGAGAAGAACAAAGGAGCTTTTAGTAAGCACCAGTGGTTCTCTCTTCTATTCTTTGGTTCGTGCTCAAGTTTTTATTTTGAATGCTAAACACTATCAACCAGGCCCCCCAACAGAAGTTTTATATACGTCAATTTCGAGCCAAGTAGTAGCTCAATGGCATTGCTTACGCATAGTCCCATCCTGTGGAGGCCAGCCATTTCCCGTCGGGTGACAAAGCCAGAGAGGTGACGCCACTGTCGTGGTCCCGCTTGTAGAACACGGTGTCCAACAGGTGGGGCTCTTCCTGTGCCAGCTGTATCATCTCCACACCGCCTGCGCTCGAGGCACACCTTCCTGGTCATTCTCCACGTAGGGAATAGTCGATTATAGGTACGAAGTAAATTCGAATAGTTAATATGACATATAAAGAAAAATGGGCATTTGTATCGTGCTCCAACTAACCTGCACAATATATTTTTTTTAATTTGAAATAAGGCCTCTATGCAAATGCCTTGTCTTGTTTTTGTTAAAAAGAAATCGAAAAAACTTTGGATAGTGGCAGGATTTGACTTCCGGTAGGATGTGAGTGATAACCTATAAAATACACGACTTTAAAATTTATACTTACAACACATAAGCCGTCAGAATAAGCTTTTAAGCTTAAAAAAATGATTAAGCGATTTGAGGGTAATATGTTAACATAAAGGGGCTCTGCAACACTTTTTTCAAGTAGCCATTGAATGGATTCACTAAACAGGGATAAGACGGCTGAAACTAAAGTGGGAGCAGCTTTTGGAGCAGCGAAATTTCATTTTTGGTGCTGAACCTTGCCTTGGAGCCCCGCCGCGGTGGTCTAGTGGCTAAGGTACTCGGCTGCTGACCCGCAGGTCGCGGGTTCGATTCCCGGCTGCGGCGGCTGCATTTCCGATGGAGGCGGAAATGTTGTAGGCCCGTGTGCTCAGATTTGGGCGCACGTTAAAGAACCCCAGGTGGTCGAAATTTCCGGAGCCCTCCACTACGGCGTCTCTCATAATCATATGGTGGTTTTGGGACGTTAAACCCCACAAATCAATCAATCAACCTTGCCTTGGAGCAGTTAGCAGCATTTAATATGCTGTCTTGGGAGCTTAAAAATACCAATTTTCAGCAACATGAGGGAACCAGCGCATATTTTAATTGGCTTATAACACACATAACACTGAAGTAGATTTTGAAGGAAGGTTTTACACAGATTATCCCTTGGTATGAACTGCACTACCTTTTTACATACCACGTAACCTATTTATCCCCTTGTAACATGTGAAATAACATTTAAAAAGGTTTTGTTGAAAATTAGGTTCTCCAGAAACATCTTAAAAAGAATGCAACACACTGAAAAAAAATCAAAAATTGTGATTGCACAAGAATCTTAGTGACGTAACAGTGGCCGTTCGTTTAAAGAAAAGCCTGACACAATAGCGTCAAGAACTTTTAACAGACAACAAAAGCACAGTGCACTGCCGTTCGCGGCGACCTCATTCAGGACCACCTTCAAGAGTGCAGTGCGAGAGCCAAGAATGCTCGCCGCATCGACTATCTCATAAAGCACGTGTGTATGGCACTAAGTGATGAGCAAATAATACTGATAATGCCTCTCCACACGAGCAGCCACGCTTTAATAATGCAACACAAGTTGGCCAGTTCTACATTTGTTTAATATTCTATATGTCATCACCGTCGATGAAGAACTCTTGATGATACATCGACTTGAGATTGCTGCTCACGCCGCTCTGTGATTAGCGTAACGTGCTCGCGCAGCGCAGGTAAAAAATCTGTGTCCACGCAAACAAACCTCTGAACGTAGAGAGGCAGGTTTTATTGAAAAAAAAAAAAGAAGAAAAAAAATCAAACTATGTCACACTGCCACTAGCCCAAACACTGATCGAGATAAGCCTAAAGCTCGTGAAGCCCAGGGCTGGCACGCATGCAGCGACGCCTCTTTAAGCGCTCATTGCGAGTTTCGATTACAAAATGAAGCAGTGGCAAATCACCATTCATGAAAACTGTGCTATGTGATCGCCGAAGCGTAATGAGTCACGAATAAAGCACCGAGGTGCCTGTTAATATAGTTTACAATCGTATGAATGCACGTTTTATCACCACGGTTTCGCATGTAACCAAGTGTTTTTCTGGATATCGAGTGTGATAGCGTTTTCAAATGCAAAATGCAATGAGAACTCGCTTGTCTAAATAAACTAGTAGCTAATGGGTGTAAACCGGGAATGGGTTGCAAACGTTCTGCCCCTTACGGAATCCATTTGGAGAACACATTTGCACGTGCCAGAGCATCCAGGAGATGCGTCGGATGCAGGGAAATGACTCCACGTTTAAACGTTTACAGTTACTCGCTCACGGCAAACATGTACTCATAGGTGACCGCACGCAGCAGCGTCAACACGAAAGCCACAGACACCGAGGAACACGCTTCGCACAACGAAGAACTGGAAGGTCAACCCCGCTACACTTGCCACCCAACTCTGCTGTTTCTCCCTAGCCGACAGTGGCACCAGAACACACAGCCTAGCTAGTAGAAGCAGCACGCTCGATGCACGGCAAGACATTTTTGTCACGCATATTTGCAAAATTTTAAAGATTATGACGGCACCATGGGGGCCTTCGTCACCAGAAAGGCGCAAAGTGAAATAAAGAACACAATTCGGTGCGTCTTATTAGTCAAACTAGCCCTTTTTTCCCACTGAGGCTGAGGTTGGCATCAAAACTCTAGCTTACGAGGCTATTTCGGAGCAGTTCGGCGCAATATTCTCGATTTTTATGTATTTGGAGCAGCTTGGCGCAAGAAAATAGAAATCTATAAAAAATGCGCAATATGCACCGCTGTCTCATTTCTGGCTTTAAGCTTATTGCCTCACGAATTTACCACCACAAAAATTTTTAGAATCAGCCTAGTTCAAGTGGAGTTGCACAGATTTGTCATACACTATAATTGCCTTCTCCCTTCTCATCCCAACAATAGTGCTGGAAGCTAAACAGAAATGATGGCATGGGGAAAGAAAATACGTCACGAGCACCTCATGACCTTGACCACTTTCTCTCTTTTTTTTCTTCAAATACGCAGCTTTTCAGTGTGATCCCGCACGTACACGTGGGCAAGTGGCGGCCTCCCGCGGCGGCCCCAGTAACGACCGAGCGCGCCATGCTCAAAAAGCCAAGAGCTCGCACAATGGCAGCGACAAGTAATTTCCGAGCGACATTTAGCTGACTTTCAGAATTTACTGTGTATTGCAGACCAGGTGCCTCGACTATCTACAGACAGTGTTTTCTGCCAACGCTCAAAAAGTGTTGTGATCACCTTTAAATTTGAAGTGGGGCTTCGCGACAAAGCTGAGTTTCTTTGAAAGTGGGCTTTTACGGCTTGGCATTTCTACACTGCAGCGAAACCACCTTTACAAATGATTACATGCGGAATAATATACACCTTTTTGTTCATTGGGAATACTTCGGAACTCTCAATAATTCAAATATGAATCTAATTCTCTACTATTTGTTCAAATATTCGAAGTATCGGAATATTCGCACAAGTCTAGTATTTCGCATTGTTGAAAGATTTCGGATTTCCACGTTCTCAACCTTTTTCCTAGTCCCTGGTCTTACATTCATGCATTTTGGCAAGTGTCTTTTGCAATGTGCTTTTTGAACTTCTCTATATGACCGGTACCTGCAAGAATTGCATGCTTTACACAATCCAACAATTTACAGTGAAGCAAATGAGGCCCTACAATTGGTCATGAATGCTAAAATAAATCAAATTTAAAAGTGTTCGTTATGACTTTCCTTCTTAAAAAAAAGGACATGAAAGTGAGTTCGTCCGCATTAATAAATTGCTTCCCTACAATACGAGAGCCATCACTCATGCCCATGGTGTTAAGAATAATCAGGTGCGGACACTGAGCGCGCCTGAGCGGCCAGATAATGTTTGGTCTTGCAGGCGTGCAGAGCTGCGAGCCATCAGGTGGCGCCGCGGACAACGTACCCATGATTAAGAAGTCCGCACTAGAGATCTATCGAACTTTTAAGCAGGAAATCGCCAAAGAAAGGATCTATCATAATACTCGGGGTAGTTCTCTGCTGTTTGAGGTCAGGACGGGAGTATTGTGAACCAAGACATATTGGGTCAAATACGAAGGGGTAGACACGGTATGCAGTGCGTGTGGAGAGGAAGAAGAAAACTGCCGAACACTTGATAATGTTCTGTAAAAGACTTCACCCTATAGTTCAGGATGATGGCGCAGAGTTTTTCAAAGCACGGGGGTTTAGGGACAGGGAGGGCAAAATAGACTTTAAGCGGGTATAATTAACTAGAAGGAGGTTATGATTAGTGGCTAAAGTCAAGGCACGAGTGAAAATTAAACCCTTCACTGCAAAGTACGGGGCCTCAACCTCACTGGTTAAAGGTAAAAAAATAAATAAATCTAGTTTTTGATTCACTAAGTATTGCGGCTTGGTGGCGTTAGCCACCGCCCGACCTAACGGGTACAGCCATATCAATCCATCCATCCATCCATCCACCCAAGCGGTGCTGGTGCATTGAATTTCGTCTGACTCACCAACGTTTTTGCTCCAAAAAATGTGACTAACACTCAAAGCACGAAAGAAATTTGCGATTTCAGATCAAAAGATAGAGGTTTACCAGGTTTCATTAACACAAAAATACATTGTGCAGGGTGTGAATGTCGTCAGCACGGATCGATCAGAGAGTACTCAAAGCTAAGTTCCACTCGCCTGCACTTGTACATTTGTCTGTTCACAGCATTTCTCGATGCAAAGAAATACAAATAAAAAACAATGTTATCCAGTGTGCTGTTCTTCCATCAAAACATTTTCCTTTGGGGAAAAATGGAAGGAACTCCCAAGCACTTAGATGTAGGTGCAAGTTAAACAGCCTCGCATGGTCAAAATCACACAACTAGCTTTATTTTATCATAATATCAGTTCCAGCCTTGACATAAATATACCTGTTGACGCCCTTTTCTTAGAATTTGAAAAAGCATTCGACAAAGTCTCGCATCAACGGCTACTGCTAAAGCTTTCTCGTCTAAACATTAATACAAATGTATTTAATTGGATTCGCAGTTTCCTTACCAATCGCCAACAATTTGTGCATGCTAACTCCGTCTCATCTAGCCGCTCCTCTGTAATCTCTGGTGTGCCGCAAGGTACAGTGCTCGGACCATTACATTTTCTCATTTACATCAATGACCTTCCATCAAACATGTCTTCAAGCGTTCACCTCTTTGCAGACGACTGCGTCGTATACCGTCCCATAGAAAACAGCGCAGACACTACTACACTTCAAAACGACCTCGATCTAATTGTATCCTGGTGTGATAAGTGGTTAATGTCTTTAAACATAAAGAAAACTTCATTGGTATCTTTTCATCGCAGGCCCCATCATTAGTCAGCAGAATACACCATTTCCGGCACTGCAGTCTCACCTGCTGAATCATACAAATATTTTGGTGTCACATTTTCAAGTAACATTTCCTGGTCAGCCCACGTGACTAACATAGCCAACTCCGCGAATCACGCTCTGGGTTTTCTACGTAGACACTGAAGACTGCGGCCCCATCAGTTAAACTAATATCATATGTCACACTTGTTCGTCCAAAATTAGAGTATGCATGTTCTGTCTGGGATCCCCACCAATCTTACTTATCCAACATTCTCGAATCGATTCAAAACCGTGCTGCGCGTTTTATCTACTCTGAATATACCTACCATTCCAGTGTTTCCAAACTTGAAACTCGTGCTCACCTTTCTAATCTAGAATCAGGACGTCACATATCTCGACTATGCCTTTTTCACAAATTTTATCATGCCCCCATCAAAGTTCTAGCCATCCTGCCAGTCCATCGCTCATCAAGCTGCACCAACCATTCAAGCGCAGTGTATCCTCCACCAGCCCAAAGCACCGCACATCTTCGCTCCTTTTTTTGTGACAACCGCACGGGACTGGAATCGTCTGCCTGCAACTACCGTGCACCACTCCGACCCGCATCAATTCAAGATTGCCCTCGAATCACTTTTTTTATTCTGTAATTGATACCCATCCCTTATGTAATACCCCAGCTGGGGCCTTTGAGGTATTCAAAATAAATAAAATAAATAAATAAATAAATTAGTTAAGGGCCCTCCACTATAGTGTCCCTCGTAATCAAATCGCGGTTTTAACGCGTAAACCCCCAGTAACAATTATTACCCTCTATTGAGAGAGGATAGTTCCTGCACCAGAAACGTATTTCATGTGTATCGCTGCTTTCCTTTGCACAAGAAATCGTTGAACAAAAGTTGCGCTTGTTCTATGTGAATGTGATACAAATAAATATTTGAAATGCATTATTATTCCATATCAAGCACACAAGAGCAATGCTGTTGTTCTGGGAATTATATAAATATTTGAACCCCGCAAGTATTACATATACAGCACACTAAAGCAGTGCGGTTGTTCATGCCTAGATGTTACGATGCGAATTCACATATTTACGTCAACGATCACTGTCAGACGGCACTTTGAAGAGAAGCACACGCTTCGCACAAGTCCGATAGCCATAACAAAAGTTCTGCACAAAACACGTTCTACCCAGTTCGGGAACGTCTCAGCGATTCAATGTTACCTTCATCATATAATAGCATTAAATACACCCGAATAACAAAAAAAAAAACCTGGCTTCGAAACTGCGTGGTCATCACACCTGCCAACAAAAAGACACAGAATCGAAAGCATGCGCGTTTCTGCCTCGCCGAGCGTGCTGCCGAGACGGCTGACCCTGCCCGTCATAGCGCCATTTAACAAGGCACCGATGAAGCTGCAAGATAACTAATAACGGCCTGAGCATTATCTGCGCTGAGATTGCGCTTTTCAACACATTGCGGGGAGAGTGTCCAGACCTGTATACACTCAAACCTCGTTATAACGAAGTTGAAGGGGAGCCACAATTTTTTCGTTATATAGATTATCACAGTTTGTGGCAATGTATGCTCAGATGGGCGCACACATAAGCATGCAAAGAACCCTTTGCATGCACACATAAGCATGCAAAGAAGGAAACCGCCTTGCGGCCTGATGTACCAATATGCGACCACGCCTGTCACGGAAAATAAACTCAGTCGAATCTCATTAATTGAAACTTTCAGGTAATTCCAACTCACCCTGAGGTCCGGTCAAAGCTATGTGTACTCCAATGGGCGAAAAGGCCCTGTTATTCGAACGCGCAAGCACTTCCGACGGATAATTCGAACATACTGCGCTCCGAAAATGCTCTTAGCACCATGCCCAATCCTGCGGCAGCACCTCTCAGCGCTGTGCGCGACGAAGGAAAAGAAGAAATGGAGAAGCAGATGTTTGCTCTCCCTCAAACGCCGATCAGCGACGCGCCTGTTCCACGCTTCTCCCTTTTCCGTCTCTACATGTAGAGACCCTTCTGCTTTCAAGGCTGCACGCGCAGAGAGAGGAAAAAAAAAAAAAGCTGTCGAGGAGAGTCCTCCTTTCTCGGTGCATAGTAAGCAGCCATGGTAGCAGCGGAAAAGCAGTCGTTGCCGTCTTGAGATGGAAATCGCTTTGCACCACGGCGCCGCTTCTCGGTCATGTGACCCGCTGAACGCTTCCTCAATCCTCTCCGCTGGCTTTCTGAGGAGGACGGCTCTCGGCCGCGCGGAGCATGGCTGTAGGTCGACCCAGGAGTTTTGAAAGAGCCGCGCTGGACGAGCATCAAACTCCACAGAAAACGCTATACTTAACACACTAAGATCGTTTTTTTATACACTATTTGATAAACTACTTCAGTTCGTTATAAATCCATTAACCGGTTAATTCTAGTTCGTTACAATGTGGTTCAAAATACATGGTTCTCAATAGAGCTTTCAAGAAGAATTTTCATTTACTTTGTTATATCAATTATTTCGTTATATCCCGTTATGTTATAACGAGGTTTGAGTGTATTCTTGCACCATGCTCATGCCATAACATGAAGCTTGACACGTGAGAAAGAAATTTAAAGGGACACTAAAGGCAACAATTACGTCGATGTTGATTGTTAAAATAACGGCCCAGAAACTTCGTAGTGTTACTTTTGTGCTAAAGAAGGGCCTATTTTGAAATGAAATCACGTTTTAGTGGTCAGCACCAGGTTAGCGCACTTCAAATTACCCGCCTCAAGAAGCGAACTGACGTGAATCGGTCCGATTCACGTCACTGTTGCCGTGCACAGCTTTGCCCAGCTTTACTGCGCTAGTAGCAGCAGACCGAAAGCAGCGGGAGCCACAGCAGCAATAACGGCCATTGATCAATTTCCCGCCATCAGCTTCAACATTGCAGACGTATTTTGTTTCAACTGCGCCCCTCTGGATGGCACCACCTGTCCCGTGTAACCGCACGAAAATTGAATATTTTAACCACTCACGCCATTCGCCATAGTAACGTACAACGGTTCTTTTTTCCATGAATCAAACAGAAACGAATAAGCAGCATGTTATTGCATCTCTTGATGCACGGAAGGTTCTTTATTAAGTGCAGTTAGATCGATTACTAGTGATTATTTGAAGGTGGTCCGTCTCATGTCAGCAGGATAATTTCGAAAATGTCCTACTGCGACGCTTGTCTTCTTGTGCAGTTTCTCGGAAAGTAGGGCACTGCTGTTGATAATATTGTCGATTTAGATGTCATACATTAAACTTTCACTCTGACGTAAATTGTTATTTGACTTTAGTGTCCCTTTAAGAAAAGCAAAAGACATGTGGTCAATTTGCCTTCTAATTTCCAATGCACACTTCCTGACAAAATTGGGAGGCACAAAGAAATGGGGAGGACAAACGATATATTATTTGGAAAGAATGCCAGGTAACTTCAGGCGCATGCAACAGTCACTGTGATAAGCACCGCGGCTGATTGACAAAGGTTTTTACGTTGTCAAGAAATGTCAAGAAAGGGCAATTTGCTATGATACAAACTCAAAGACACATGCTGACCTACTAGGAATCCTATCCTAACAGATTGTGCACGTGCGACGGCAGAAGGTCGGGATGTTTCCTACTTTCTGCTCGGTCAACTGCCACCCTGGCATGCTTTCACTACAGGGTGTCTACCAAGTCAGTGTTTCGAAATTCCCTGAGATTTCCAGGTTTACCCCAAGTATTTTTGTGAAATTCCTTAAGTGGCAAATAACTTTCTGCCATGTATATACATGAAGGCACCATGCCACCCAATGCTGTCACTGTCTAGTAAGCATGTGCAACACTTTGTACGTTGATATTTCAGAGCTTTCAAATAGATCAAATTACTTTAATGCAGATTTTGAATGTAGGAAACATGTAAAGTAAATAAAAATCAATATAAAAAAATCAGGAACAGTATTTTGGTGTCAGCATTATTTATAACTGCAAACAGTACTATAGGTGGTGCTAAAAGAGTTTAGCCCCACGGCGCCAGTGTAAGTTTACATCTTTGTAAATTTTCGCTGCAAAGGATCAAGAGAGAAGACATGACGCTGCAGCCGGCGACGCCACTGTCGGAGGGAGTTCAGAAACGACAAGAAGCGTGCCTAGCCTCCTCTCTGCTACACACAAGCAAAGCATCCGACTCAGACTGACTGCTCCTCGCCGCTGCACCCTTTTATAGACTAGCGCCCATATTTTAGATAGTTCTGGGGCCTTCGCTTGCGTGGAGCACAGCAGAGGCTATGCATGGGCCCAGTTTTTTTTGGTAGTTTCCGCCAACGATGACGTCGAGAGCTGAGGCGTCATTCTTTCTTTTCTCGATCCTTCACTTCACCCTGTTTCTAGGTGATGCAGGCGGCTATTTCCAAGTGGTAAGGAGGTTGACACGCCGCCCCCTTAGTGTCTGACGTATTGTCATGCCATCTATAATGATTGTTTTTTTATTGCGCACGCTTTGAAGGGGAACCCGCTGGAGGCACAGCACCTTTCCGTCATACGAAGGGGGCCCGTGTGTGCCTCATGGCGCGCACATTTTGTGTTATAAGGTAACAACCCAAAGCGGATTTAAGTGGCACTCTGACAGCTTTAGTTCACAAGGTTCATAGTTAGAGCACGCATTACGGCAACTTTCGTTCCCTCAATTACTTTTCATCTAAATTTTGTTTTAAAGAAGCCCGAATTCTCTGAGTTTTCCCTGAGAGTTTCCAGACTAACCGAAATCCCCGAGATTTCTCGGTTGGTAGACACCCTGCACTAGCACACAAAGCATGCACATAGTACAAGGTGATGCTGCTGCCCTCAGAACCTCTAAAAGCAGTTAAATAAAGACCGACCTGAGTCGAGGCCCAGCATGAAGCGGCCCGGATTCAAGGGCACAATGTCGGTCACAGTCGAGTCGGTGTTCACCGAGGCCACGCATTTCTCCAGGCTCGGGATGTCCTCCAGCTTGGCGTAGATGCGCACCGAGCCCTCCCACTTGGTGCCACATAGGTTGTTGCACGCCAGCACTAGCGAGTCGTCTGCGCCCCCAAAACATTAGTTTATTTATTCATTCATTCATTGGGGCACTGCCTAGGACAGCTCAGACAGTTACGCAAAAACGCTTACAAATAAGAACATTGCTATCATGCAATGAAAAATGATTGATTGATATGTGGGGTTTAACGTCCCAAAATTACTATATGATTATGAGCGATGCCGTAGTGGAGGGCTCCGGAAATTTAGGCCACCTGGGGTTCTTTAACGTGCACCCAAATCTGAGCACACGGGCCTACAACATTTCCACCTCCATGGGAAATGCAGCCGCCGCAGCCGGGATTTGAACCCGCGCCCTGCGGGTCAGCAGCCGAGTACCTTAGCCACTAGACCACCGCGGCGGGGCTGCAATGAAAAATAGTTAACAAGGTAAAATACATGGTGAAACTTCTAGCGCACAACTAAATCACAGCCAGAGCAAGTGACAATGAGACGAAGCACTTGGTCACTTACTCTATACATGTTTTTTTTATGTGCTAAAATTTTCATCATGTATCACCACCAACAAGTCCCACCCTCCCACATTTTGGAAAAGAAAACAGTTCCATGAACAAGGGTGCAAAAAAGAGCAAAAGAGAAAACATTGGTAATAACCAAAAGAAAAAATAAGAAAAAAGTAACACTAAGTTGCAAAATCATGTACCTTGTGCCAACACTACTATGCTTCATGAAGAAACACAAATGTTTATGCAACAGCTAGCTTGAGAGAGCAAGTGTACTAGTCTTCAAGTTTGTCCAGGTAGCCGATCTTTTGCAGCATAAATCTGTGCTTCATTTAAACCAAACCGTCCAATGCGTCATATATGCTAAATTTCATACATGTATATTTTCATTTGGACACGGCAAATTTAATTCATAAATATATGGGCCACAAAACATTGAACTGGTGTTCTATGTTGTTTGGGAGGCACTTAGTTAAATTACATTTTTTTGCTGACCAGACACCTTTGTGTCAAAATCTGAACCAGTAAACGGAACTTTTTTTTTTTCCTTTTTTTGCTAGACACTCCTAGGAATGCCTTATCTGTTACCAAAAAATATAAAACAACAATAGAAACAATTGTTTGATGCTTGATAACATAAAATTAGGCATTACATTCATTTAAATGGTACCCCCCAAAGAACATCTTACAGAAATCAAATATGCCTTCCATCCATTTTATTTTATATATACATACGATTCAGAAATGTCATGCACACTATGCCAGCTACATTGCACAAAGTGAACGTAGCTTGTAATCTTCCACCAGTGTTCAACACATTCCTTCAAAACAGGAATGAAAGTTCCTCATTTTTTCCTATTGATGGAATGAGTTCCGGTCACAAGTTCTTACGTTCAAAAAGAACGCATCACAGTTACGTTTGAAACATTGTAACATTAATGTTACATTAGATATATCTCCATAGTATATAGTGTTGAAAACCCTGAAACAAAATAAAGAGGGCAATTTCAAACTTGTACCGAGCTGAATATACAGTAAAATCTCATTAATTCGACACTCGTTAATTGGGAAAATTCAGATGCGTTCTCTGGTCACAGCCAGAGCATGCATAGCTTAATGGCATCAACCTCTCGTTATTTCGTCATATTTACAAATATGATGATCAGACTGTGCCAATCACAAAGTGCCGCACATGTGCGATGCAAGGGTGCGAAAAGAGTGCTCGTAGATGGCCGAGAAAGCTGCAGGCTTTCAGAACTATGTGGTTAACATCTAGTTGCATTGTTCAGACGTAACAGAGTATGAGATCACTACATGTTCCTAATTAAGACACGAAGCTCTTCAGCCATGTTCACATAGCAAACAAAGATAACTATGCCTTTAAGTTTGGATTGCTCTTATGCAAAATAGTGACAGGATTTACGTATTCCTCAAGAAAATGAAAGTGCAATGATCTAATAGACATTTGTTTTCTTCAGACTTTTAATATTTTAACATTTGGTTAATACCGACAGTTTTTCTCGTCCCATAAAATCCAATGTAACGAGGTCTGACAGTTCTACAGAAGTTTAAAACATCCTTCATAGCAGCACACCATAAAATAAAAAAAAAAATCCCTGAAGGCTAGCAACAACACAATGCTCAATGGCACCGCAACATTGACACATTAAACAACTCTTCGAATGTGGTAGTGCCCTAAGCAAAATTACCACACGCACCAGTATGTTGGAAAGTAAAGACAAATTTATTGTACAGGAGGTTCATGTCATGGAAACCTTGATAAAGCTTGCTATTTTTTAGCCAACAGAAACAGCAAAAGTTAGAGGTGTGCAAAATTGTGTACCGAGTGTGTCACAGGGTACCACATGACTTAAGCGGAACACCTCCTCTACCAAAGGGACGGACCCGCTCTTGCATGTGGGCCCCAGCTCGTGACGTCAGTCTGAGCCCACTGGTGGAAACGCTTTATCATCCACTTTCGAAGAGGAAACGCTGCAGACTTCTAAACTTGTTATAGCAGTTTTACTCCTGCCCTTTCAAATATTTGTCTAACGTGCAAAAAGTGGAACCTTAAGGGCTTGTTTTTCTTTGTTAGACACAATATGAATGAGAACAGACAATAATGCCAAGGAAAGTGTAGAGGATGTAATTAGTGATAATTATGTAAATGCAAACAAAAAAAGTGGACAGACAGGTAACTTACAACAGGCAGAGACTGAAGCTAGGAACTTTGAGCAGCTATAACAGCAGCCATTGCCCCCCATCAACTACTTTATGGGGTGTACTTAAGAGAACACTAAAGGCAACTAATAGGTCGATGTTGATTATTGAAATAGCAGTCCAGAAACCTCATAGTGTTACTTTTGTGCTGAGGAAGTGGTTATATTAAAATAAAATAACATTTCAGTGGTCTGAATTAAACTAGCGCACTCCCAATTTGTGGTCTCAAGCGGAACGTGTCCCGTCACTGTTGCCTGCACAACGAGCCCGGCTTTACTGCACGGCCGCTGACACTAGTAGCAGCAGAACGAAAGCAGCGGGAGCCACAGCAGCAACATCGGCCATTGAAAAACTTCCCACCATTGGCTCCATCATGGCAGACGAGTTTGGATTCAACTGGGTCCCGCTAGATAGCAGGCCCTGCCCAGTTTAACCAGGAAAAAATGCAAAAATTGAACTTTTGAACCACTCGTGCCATTCTCCACAGTAATGTCCGGCAATCATATTTTCCATGAATCCAACAGACACGAACAAACAATTTTATTATGCCTTTTGCTACAAGGAAGGTTTTTTTATTTAGTGCAGTTAGTTCGATTACTAGTGATTAATTGTAGGCGGTATGTCCGACATAATCAAGACTCTTTTGTGAATGTTCTATCGTAGCGCAAGTGTTCTCGTGCATTTATTTTAATTGCTCATTAAGTAGAGCACTGCTGTTGATAATATTGTCGTTTTAGATGTCATACATTGAGCTTTCACTATGACATAAACTGTTGACTTGAGTGTTCCTTTAAACGTGAAAGTGCCAGTCAGTGCCACTAATAATCACGATGGTGAGTGTGGACTCCTTTTTTCCCACCTGCTGGTGCCACGCGTATTACGAGCTAACTACAGAAAGTCATTTCACTTTTTTTTTTTTCCTGGGAGAAAAAAAAAACAAACATTTCCATGTGCCTAAAGTACCAGCTCAGTTGTTCTTCACAAACTTCCTCCATTTGTGACTGTGTTGTAGTTCTCCTTTTTTTCTTAGCCCACTAGTGTACCCCATATTTTTCGATCGCAATGAACACATAGACGGCAGACTCTGTAGAGTTCTGCAGACACGTAGCGCTACCTGTCGGTGCAGTTTTGGGTAGTGCAAATCCCGACTCGCTTGCACAATTAGCTGCGCAACCAGGCGCAAATAGCGCGTACAAAACAAGTATTGAGCTAAATATTAAGTGTTTTTCCACATTGAACCCCAAGAAAAAAAGCTACAAATTTCTCTCCACTAGTCGGACGGTTACATAATCATCATGAAGTGCTGTTCATTTGCCAAAATGGCAGCCAAAACAAGAGCAGACGCAGCAGCTCAGCGCTCTTCGAAGAAAGACCTCAGTGTGTCTGTACACACGCATTAGGGTTTCAGAAAATGAGCTACGGCTTAACAAAAGTCAGTTGTCAGTGTGCGCTTTTCAGTGTCTCTTCTTTCAAACCAACAATGTTCTACACAGCTATACACCAACTAACCTGACGGCATACACTACTGACCCCAGTGTACACTACTGTTGCTTTGTGAATTGCCACGCTCGTAAATGACCTCAGTTTTACCGATTTCCGTAAATTTTGCAAAGTAGAACAGCAAGAGCAGTGGATACGGGATGTTGCGAACATGTACTTTATGGATTAATTTGAATTAGATCGACCTGAACTGCTGTATTTACTGACTCAACTATTTAGGATGTGAATCGGGTTAGATCTAATTCAACTTGAGCCAATTACTCGTGTTCTTCCCAGCCGGTTGCATGAGAAAGTGTGATAATGTAGGTCTTTTATTGTTTTGAGTAGCCTTGACAGAAAACCGTGGTAACTTTGATTATGGAGCTTAACAGAGCCTCTGACGCGGTGTGCGCCGGGCAACAGTAAACTGGTGACGCGTCCAAGCACACGCCACGACCACCAATAATCTTAAAAGTGGCCCTGAAACACTTTTTCAAGTAACCATGGAATGAATTCACTGGAAGAGCTTATTGCCTCACGAATTGAACACCGCAATAATTTTAAGAATCTGTCCAGTTCGAGAGGAGTTACAAAGATTTATCGCATGCTGCAATTTAGAGTGTCTACCCGATTTATTATTTCTAAATTCCCCGACTTGTCCAGGTTTTTCATGACGATCGAAAGCGAATTCCATGACCACCATATTTGCTTGGAAAACTGTGCACTGGAAACAAACCCTCGAAAGGTAAGAAAATAAGGCGCTCCATATAAAATAAGTAAACATATTTACCAGACGCACTCAGAATGTTCTGAGCGCGGACGGCAAATGTGAAAGAAATATCTATATCTGGCCAAAATAATACCCCTGAGCCAGGCAGCGAGCAAGTCAGCTGTTTGATGTTCAGTAGAACCACGAAGCTAACATCAGTTGAACGTAACCACAGATGAAAGTTTGAAGAAGCCTGTGATAGTCGGACATCACAGTCAAAGCTGCTAAGAAACATAGAAGCGGTGCCACCTTGTGGCATTCGTGCACAATAAGGACACGGGAGCCTGGCCGGTTCGGCCACTGGAGTGTAATGTAGTTTATTATAAATGGCTGTAGCTTGCGCAGCCTATGATAAGGATTGGATTGAATTAGATCCACCTGGAGTGCTGTACTTATTGACTCAACTATTTAGCATGTGAATTAGATTAGGTCTGATTCGACCTGAATTGCAGCATTTGCTATTGATTTGCATCCCCACCTCTAAAATATATAGGTCTATGCAAAAAAATTAACAACTACTACTACTCGCACATTGTGTGTACCTTGCCTTGACAACGAGTAACAACAATGTTGCAAGAATAGAGCCGTACTGCACGCAACCGTTGGCACGAGACGCAAACATGCACAGTAGGGTGTGTAAACACAACCGCCAATGCCGGATTTTAAGTAGGTGGAACAATAAAATGCTCCCCATTTAAAAGAAGCTTGCATCATGTCTGCACCTGAAATCTAGATACAGACAACTGAACGTACGCTGAACAGGAGTGTTGGGACGCTTCGGACAACGTACTTTCGCTGCTTAATGACGTATTTAGGTGGACTTAAGTATTCTGTGCCTTTCTTATGCCTTTTATTGTGAACAAAGCTCTCTCCCATATCGCGTGCCAAAATGTCAGCAAACTTTGTGTTCTATGGGTCAGTGTATCCTTTCGCGTTTAGACTAAGAAGCAACAGTTATGCACTGTTTTTTTTTTATACCTCTTCTAGTAGCTCACTGTAGTTGCAGTTGGAAGAGAGACCTTTTAGGCTTTGATCAATGGTAATGCTTATTTTTGTGAAGGCCACACAGAACTGCTGTCCATGACCTGGCCAGGTTTCTCAGAAATTCCCCGTCTTTTCCATGACTTTTCCAGAAGGTCCAAATTCCCCGAGGTTGATAGACACCCTGCGATTGCATTCTCTCTTCTCTCGTCCCGACGAAAGCACTGGAAGCTAAGCAGGGAGGAATGGCAGGGGCAAGGAAAAACGTCACGCACTCCTTGTGACCTTGAGCACTTTTTTTCTTTCTCTTTGAATGCGCGACTTTTTCAGTGTGATAGCACATGCATACGGGACAAGTCACCACCTCCCGCGGTAATCTCTTGGAACGATGGAGCGCGCCATATTTAAATCAGCCAATGGCTGATAGATGGGTTTTTTACGAGTGATTTTCGAGCGTCTTCTGTGATTTGTCGAGAGAAGAGAAAGCAATCTTTAGCCGACTTTGACAATTATGAATTCTAGGCCGCGTGTTGCGCTTTATTATTTGGCTGACGTATTATCGGGAGTGTCTACTACCGAAAGTCAGTGTTTTCTGAACAAGCTCAAAAAGTGTTGCAGGGCCCCTTTAGGTGGTCACCACCACACAGCATGGCGTATGTAGGCTTTGAGGGATTTAAGTTCCGTCTTTAACTAGCAAATTTCAACAGTATGTCATACAGGTAAATGGCAAAATATTAATCATGATCACAATCAGTTTTTTTCTTGGCGTATGGTCTATGCGATTGCGTAAGCTGTCTCGGACGCCTCGGTTTAGCCTTTCATTCTAGACTGAGAAAGTGGACATGCATGTATGTATTCCTATTTGCATTGAATACAAACGGAAAACAACTGTCAACAAAACATTTAAGAATGTGTAATAAAACAGTGGAACGCACAAGAAGCGAGAGATGGGTGGAGAATTCAACAGAAAAGGCAAAAATCACTGGGGCCATTCGTGCCAGATAAAAGGAGCTTCATACCACTGATTGTAAAATATATCGCTTATTTATGCATTTCATCCTCATGTGTATAGCCAAATTTAATGCATTTAGGCGTTAGAAAATGCACATCGTAGTGCTTGCCTCAAACTCGATGTCATGCGCTTGCACCTAAATTACGCCGAAATAATTGAAACACCTTTTGAATTGTACCCACAGTTCGCTTTGATGAGCTTCCTATTTTGTGAAGCGAGGTTGGATAGATGGAAGAAGGTTGCCAGGTCGTTGATTTTCAAGAAACCGCGCTTCAACACCAACCAAAGTGGAAGGCCTATACACATTCACTTGTGGATGGCTCTCTATGCACTACCCAGTTATGGCCCCCGGCGATGAGGGCAGGGCGCCGGCAGTGGCGTTTATCGCAGTGCCACCTGGGCAGAGTCTGATGTCTATGCCAATTATTGAAAATGTTTGTTTTGCTAGAATGAAAACAATTTAATTAATTGGCAATGCACAGACTTGATGATTTCGGTTGTACATGCTCAACAGTGTGTGATTATCACTTATGAATTATTAAAAGATAATATATAGACACAGAGTTGTCATCCAACTAACCTTTTACTTCTCCAGTGACAAAACGCTCGTTCCGCCTCTGCTGGTGCGCACACATCTCCAGATATTTAGAGAAAACATTCATAGCAGTTTTGACAAGTCACCTTTGCATGACCCTTAATCATTCCTAAATGAATTTTGTGACGGTGGAAGACGAGTGCATCGTTGGTGGTATGCGCAGAAGTCGCACAACAGGTAGAATGCTCATGAAATAATACACAAATCACTAACGAAGAGCAACAACATATTTTCTGTCGTGATTGCAACAATGTCTTCGTTACTAATTTTTAAAAATCTGATGCTGCCGAGGATTAATCTATTTTCGATTTCTTTGAACGAGATAAAAAATGATCAACAGTGCAAATGACAGGAAAAGATAGAAAATACGAGACAGAGCGCTGAACTGCCAACGATTCATTTCTGGTGTAAATCTTCGTTTTTATACAGTCACCATTTGTGCCAGTCATGTGTGCGAAACAGAATGATAATGCATAAGTACCTCACACTGCCAAGCAAAGGAACAACTGTTCTTTATTGGTGAGCACGACAGAAGGTGTGCTAACACAAGCATTTTTTAATAAACATATCTTTTCTCTCTCTACGATCTTGCGTGTGGTGCGATTCCTGCACGTCGCAACAATAGCAGAATCTGAAAACACTGACCTGCAGCCACACATGCTGCAGTGAATGGAAAGCCATCGTTGTTTATACCGATCCACATTGCTCGGATGTTCCTTCAGCCTCTCATTAATACAACAATCTGTTTGGCCAACGTAGTATCTTCCATATAACAGTAGCTGATACACCAAATTACAAATACAGTCTCTAAATTTATTTGGGAAAATGGAAGTGCAACGGAGGGTGGGTCTTGACGGTGGAACGGACAGTTTGTACAGGTGACTTAATTTTTTGAGGGGCTGTAAAGACCACATTCACATTACCTCACTGTGCCACTTTCTTAAGATTGTACACTATCTTGTGCATATACAGAACCACGGCGAAAGCTTGTCTAGCTGTGACAGGTTGAACTATGTTATCATTCGCTTTGGCCTGAAGTTCAAGCAACAGGTCTTCGGCAAAAGAAACCTGCACGTGGCCAGGGTAACCAGTCGACGTCAGCCTTGAAGATCGTATAAATGAGAGGATGAAGGAACATCTGTACGGTGTGGATCGCCATAAACAAGGATCGCTGTTCGTTCAGTGCAGCACTTGTGGCTGCAGGCCATTGTTTTCAGAGTGTATTATTGTTGAAACATGCAGGGATCACACCACACGCGAGATTATTGAGTCTTAACACCCCTTCTGTCGCGCTCACCGATAAAGAAAAGTTGTTCCTTTGCTTGGCGGTGTGATGTACGTATGCCATCTCATTGTGTTTCGCACATGACTGGTGCAACTGGTAACCATATAAAAGCGAAGACTTAGCAAGAAATAAATTGTTGGCAGTTCAGCGCTCCGTCTCGTCTTTTCTACCCCCTCCTGTCGTTTGCCCTATTAAGCACTTTTTATCATGCTATGCCAACACACCCAATCCTACTTTTTCTTAGAACAAGAACTGCGAATAATCACACGTGCGCAATTATGGGGTGGCTTGAGAGAATTCACCTCCACTGATTTACTTGTACCAGACCACGTGGTCGATGCATTTTGGTGGGGCTAAAAAAAAGCGCCTGTCCTGTTTACGATCGGGACTCTCGAGGTCAACTTGCAGAAATCACAAAACAACGCGCAGCATCAGTCGGGGAGACACATTACACGCCCGCGATGACGGCCTAGCCGACGGCCATTACGCTATCGGCGACTTACCTTTGCTGCGTTTGATGTCATCGATGTTTCTGTGGAATGTGTCGCACGGTACTGAAGCCATCGCCAGCTGATTTTGCGGTCGCTGCACGCTCGAAACGTCCAAGACGCTCGACGCGAAACGACACATGCGCACGTGGGGTAAACCTTTGCTCTTGGTGCTTTTTGCCTCTCGCGCGCTGCTCAGCGTCATGATAATCAAAACCGTCAAATAGGCTCTACAAAGCAACTGAACAAAAACAAACTACAAAAACTAGCATTCTTCCATTAAAAAAAAAACGTTTCCGTTTACCAACTGCTGCGACAGCTTGCTGTAAAAAGTTTTTTCTAGTACTCGCGGTAGCTTTGCGAAGCCGATGGAAGCCCAGCGCCAGTCGATGGAATCCAAAGCCTGTCAAACAACAGCCAGAAGCTAAAGTACAGGCACTGGAGGGGTGGTCGACTGCGACAGTCATGAAGTCCGATGATCTTCGTTATTTGGGCATTGCATTCGTCCTGTTGGCCTTCGCGCACTACTGTGACGTAAGTAGAGAACGACGGGAACGTTTCCTTGATTCTTTCGGGCATTAGAGTAGCGGTTGCACGCTCGAGTGCGCTTACCGTAGTTTCGCGACAGGTTACGATGACGCACAGCTGCGTGCATGTTTTGACGTTTCTCGCGCCCTCCGCAGTGACGGACAGCTTGGAAAACTCGCTTCGTACGAAACAGTGCAGGCTACGTATCGCAGGCGAAACGCCAGACTGCTTTCGCGTGCATCTGTGTAGGGCGAAATCGAAATATCAGGCGCTAAGATTCGTATCAAGAAAAGCGTGTATGCGAGATGTTAGCGACGGCAAACACAAATGCACCGCTGCTGCTTCATTATTTAATCCGGAAAGCAGTCGTGTGCACATTTAGTGCAGCGCGGCTACTGCGTTTAACAGTATTCTGTGCAAGTTCGGAGGATCGCAGCGTTCAGTGCAGTGATATATACCGTACTACGCTGAAGAATTTCTATTCAGAGACATGAAAATTCTCTATCTCGGGGATCTTTCCCTGCAAACGTTGACGAAATTCCCTGCACAACTGTACTAATTTCCGCTACCATCCATGCCCACACATACTATAAAACACGTGTCAGACGTACTGGCGACTTTTGAAATCACGACAAACCCCTTCACTGCCGCACAACAATAGCATAACAGTACTAATTTCCGCTACCATTCACGCCCACACATACTATAAAACACGTGTCAGACGTACTGGCGACTTTTGAAATCACGACTAGACCCTTCACTGCCGCACAACAATAGCGTGACTTTATTAATTCATATATTGTTAGTACGCTGCACATTCTGGGCTTCAAGTCTAACACCAATAGTGATCTAGAATCCGCTCCGCGTAAATATCAGAAATAAATCTCAAGAGCTAAACATGCGTGGTGCGTGCGCCAGAATCGATTAGAGCAGATGAAGGCGCACTGCGACCGCTAATTATCGGTCATCATGAGCGAATTTAACCATTCCTGAAATTCCTTGCAATACCAGGAAGATTCTCTTTTTTCCTTTGGCTCAAAATGATAGGCGAAAATTCCCCGTAATCGGGAAAATTTTCTGCACGGAACATCACTGGTTGAGTGTCGTCACCCTTTTCGCTTCTGTTTGTTCGCAGCAGGCTGCCAAACGTTTATGCTGCCGCCCTCTTGTCCGATGCCGAAGTACACAGCGTACAACGGTGGCTATAAAGTGGCTGCAAGAGCGAATTGGCATGACATACTTCAATTTTAAAACAGCGCTGAAAAACACAGAGGGCAGCGCTTACTTTTCGAGAAGTCAGCGCTGCCCACATCCAAGTGACTCGGCCACACATCACACTGACACAACCCAGTGCGACGGCGGAGACGCAGGTCGATTAGTTGGTGCGTGAACAGCATGCAATAAGAGATAAGTTTTTTTAAATTTGTTTTGTTATCACTCGATTTGGTTGTTGGGTTAAAATAATTGTTATGAACACCATAATTTTTTTTTTTTTCTAGTCAATCTTAAGTAATTTGCGTTGCGGGTACTGTGGGTGTGGGCCACGGGCAACATTGTTGTAACATTGTACGCATGGTGAGTGAGGTACGCGGCAGTTTTGAACAAGCTCGGTGCGTCCGTTTAGTTGTTAAACTAAGACCTGAACACGAAGTGGACCTCGTAAAAAACTACTAGCGAAGTTGAATACTGTGTGTGGTATAGGCGGCAGCTTCAAACGGTTGTTAAGGCAGAAGAGTTAGGGGAGGTGGCTGGACAGCGAGATTAGGGTTGAACTTAGGGCTGTCGGGCGCTCTGTCCGATGGTCGGGCGGGCGATGGCTAAGGAGGCTAGGAAAACTACGGGCGAGAGTGAGCTGGTGCAGGGCGAAGAATTCAAGCACTAGTGCTATTTGGGCGAGACAATATTCACGAGTTTGGCCAATGCGAAGAAGACAATTTTTGTGTGCAGGCTGTGCGAGGCACTGAAGGCAGCCGTGCAGCACATGGAGGCTAGCATTAAGGGGCTTCAGGGGCAACTTAGGGCGGACCAGGAGCAGAGAATGGAGCTCCAGAAACTGCTTGGAGAGTCGTGTGAGCAGAAGGAGGCTACTGCCAGCCTATTAAAGCAAATGAAGGGTGACCTTAGAAATAGGAAGGGCGGGCCGAGCTCGAGCAGCGGGTAAAGGAGCTAATGGTGCTTTGCCCCGGTGCCGAGCGGTGTGAAGTGGAAGGCACTGGTAGCGGAGAAGGCGACAGGGGGGAAGGTACAGGTGGGAAGAGAAATCAGGGGGCCGCAGTATCTGACCACAATATCGAAGCCCCGAGAACATACAGCTCGGTGGCGCGACAGTCTTCGAGCAAGGCAGGAATACAGGACAGAGAGCAGAGAGAGAAACAGGTGAAGCAAACAGGAATCCAGAGATAGGAGAGTAGAAGGGTCCTAGTGGTCGGGGACTGCAACTTGGCCAGAGTTAGGGATGGCGTCTTCACGACAGTGAAGGAAGATGGGAGAGTGAGGGTGGAGGCCCAGTCAGGGAAGTGCATGGTGGATGCATTGGACAAAGCTCAGGAGGTTGTAGTAGACAGCGTGGAAGGTGGAAATCTCGTCGTTATCTATGCAGATCTCAATGATTCTCTGAATGGCACGAGTCGGAACTTCACAGACAAAGTGTGGGATGCGTAAGCTCCGAGACGCCTCTGGAAGTGTGCATGTGACCATATGCACAGTCCCAGATGTCTGGGGGAAGTCTCGTGGGATTGAAAGGAGGGTAGTGGAGGCCAACTGTGTTGTCAGGAGTATGAGCCGGCAGCTTAGATACAGTGTAATGGAGGTAAACCAAGACCTGGAAGAGCCCAGTGCCTGCCCCTTTGCACAGGATGGCATTCATTACAGTGGTACGATGGGCAGGAGGGTTGGTAATGGAATGGGTCGTCCAGCCACAGCTTTTTTAGGGGGACCCAGAGCACTGAGGCCAACAGTGTAGCCAAAGACGATTTAGAGGGGCTCTAATATTCAAGCCACATAGGGTTCGTGAGAGAAGAAATCAACGTAAGCACAAGGGCCAAGCTAAATCAGACATAGGGTATATTACATGCAGGTTTGCAGGAATAGGTTGAAGTGGGAAGAGATAAATGAGCAGTTAGGGAGGAGGAGCTGATGGTATATCGGGTTGTAGAGACACATCTTTGGGACATGGAGCAACTACTTTGCAGTAGTTGGTAGTGATCACAAGTCTGGGTAGTGATCACAAACGTATCAAGCTAAGTTTTGGAAGAGCAGCGAAAGTGGGAAGGAAACAGGATGAGCAACTACAGGGGAATTTTTATTCTGAAAGGCAAATTCAAATGGCTACTAAACAAATTCAGAAACTAATCATTGAGGATAATAAAACAGTGTGGACGTACATGAATTTAATTAAACTGAGCTAGGGCTTGCTAAGGCACGTGACAAGTCACCCCGGAAAAGGCAATACAAACCCAAGAGTTGGTGGGATGAGGAAGCTAAGAGAGCCATAGTAAGACGTCAAGAAACATCCAGGGAACACAGGTATGTTAAACAGAGGGGTGAACTGGAAGATGAAATGGAAAGAAAATGGTATATCTTTCTAAGCTTTAGAAGGAAAGCATCCCTTCTGATCAATGAAAAGATTAGAAGAAGGGGGGCTCAGTGGATGGCTTAAGTACATTAAACGGATAGAAAGGCAACTGCAAAATTTTGGAACCATCTAAACTCTTTACGAGACAACCTTAGAGGAGAGGTTTATAACTACAGCTCAGTGTGTTAGGCTGGAAAGGGACGAAGCTATTGAATATATAAGAACAAGGGTGATAGCAAAACTTCAACAAAGATATGTTTTATGCGCCTTTATAGACAAGGATAGATAAAGTGGCAAATTGGCTTCATTTTCACAATGAGAGTCGAAAAGTGCTGATAAGTGGGTTTCTAATAGCTCATCAACAGGCCCGAATGGCATCCCAATTATGCTGATTAAGACATTAGGTCTGAAGTCTAAGCAGGCTTTGAGAGTGGCAGTGAGCAAAATAATAATCGATGGAGAAGTTCCCGATGGATGGAAACTTAGCAGGATGAGCATGATGTATAAAGAAAAGGGGGACAAAGCTGACATAAACAACTACCGTCCTATAACAGTGACATCAGTGGTCTACAGGCTGGCGATGCAGATTATAAATGAAAGACTGCAGGCATGGATAGAGGATGAGGAGGTGCTGGGAAAACTGCAGAATGTGTTTTGGAAACAAAGGAGGTTCGAAGACGATCTCTTCTCACTGATGCAGTACATTGAAATAGCAGGAAAGGAACACAGGTCCTTGTGGCTAGCTTTTTTGGATGTAAAGGGAGCATACGATAGCATCATTCAGGAGGACATGTGGGGCACACTAGCTGTGGACACACTAACTGTGGAGGATGGAGCCACTAATCTTCTAAAGAATATCTCTAAAAGTAACAATTGGTAGTTATAAAATGGGAAAAACAGGTATACGAGCCCACAGATATAAAACAAGAGCTTAGACAGGAGTGTCCTCTGTCAACCTTGTTATTTATGATGTACCTACAAGGATTGGAGGCCAAATTAGAGGGGACGCCCACACCGCGGTGGTCTAGTGGCTAAGGTACTCAGCTGCTGACCCACAGGTCGCGGGATCGAATCCCGGCTGTGGCGGCTGCATTTCCGATAGAGGTGGAAATGCTGTAGGCCCCTGTGCTCTGATTTGGGTGCGCGTTAAAGAAACCCAGGTGGTCGAAATTTCCGGAGCCCTGCACCACGGCGCCTCTCATAATCATGTGGTGGTTTTGGGGTGTTAAAGCTCACATATAAATGAATCAATTAGAGGGGAGCGAACTTGGCTTCAATCTCTCTTTCGTTAAACAAGGAAAACTCATTGAACAGGTACTATAGCAGCATTCATGTACGCATATAGTACAGTGCTAATGCCAACAGCAAGTATGCTGGTCTCGCAGCTCGCATTTGACGGATCAAAGCGTCCGCTATCCAGCTAGTTAACGGT